CATTCCATGGCTGACGTAATACCTTTTTTTAGCATATTTATTATTCCTTTTGAATCCAACGCTTCGATAAAACCAAACGAAAATATATTTTACACACAATAAAGAAAACATCCGTATCATTGTCCGTGTATTAATGTTTCAACAGCTTTTGGTGAATACACATCACAGGTTGCGTGATTCAAAATTTGGCCAAGAGGAAGTTTGGGTCTGGTCACAAAACTGAAAAAAAAGTACTAAAAATAAGCCCCATGCAGAACATAAACCGCACTCAGCCCATGGCCGCGTGGTTAACAAACTATACCCAATAAGTGTAACCAAGATTGTAGAAATTACCTAGTACGCAATATACACAAAATTCATTACTGGCGGCCTGCTCAGGCAGTCGTCAATACAAGAGCACGAAATCAAGGTGGGTGAGGATAGCATCCCCAACTCCAGTAAGGCAAAAAGTGGAGTAGAGATGTATGTATTCCTGTGTAAGACATTTAATTCCTGTGTAACATTCTTTGCATTACTAATGTAATATTCCTGTGAAGGGCAGTAGATATATAGGTATATAGATATGGTTCAGGCAACTGCCAAGCTAATCAATTTTGGCTACGAAAGGCAGGTATAAAACTGACGATAAATTGACGGCGTTTGGTGCTATTGATTTTGGAAATACGGGTTTCAACCATGCTTTACAGATTCAAGACACTATGAATTTATTTGTTTTACGGGGACTGGGATGTAGACCTTGAGGTGGTGACTTAAGCATTTGTAACTATTTGTGACAGGCGGTTTTTAGCATTTTATCTTGTTAGTGTGCGAGCCCTCTTTTCACTCAACTCACTTGCATTAAAATCAAATTTGACAAATAACAGGCTTAAAAGGTTGAAGTGACAGGTTTCAGTCTCGTAGCAAAATGTAAAGATGACAATGAGTGGATTAAAAACTGCATTTTCTGCAAATAAGCAAACAGGTATAACTCACAAAAATTAATTGTTAGGTACATGATCAATATCTCACTGTATGTATACCATGGGTTAGATCAGGGCATCATGCCAAATCGAATTGCATTCATAATGCTATCAGAACTGTATCGCTTGCATTGTGTTAACTTTACATTTTATTTTTAGCATGAGTAGCCTGTACACAGGCTGGCATGAGGGCATAGTCTAAAACTTAAAGGCAATACGCAAATTACCCTGAATTTATCCTTGCTGACTTCTCGCCGAATGGTTTTCGATTCCTCTGATATCAGTATCATTTTAATCCATGAAATAAAGCGATAAACAACAGATTTAAGCTTAAAATTGAAGGCTTTCATGCAAATACAGAACCACAACAGGTTACTGGGATTATGAACTCAAACTGGTATTGAGTCATGTCTGCATTACATAATCAATGGGAGTAGAACTGGCAAAAAAAAAAGCAGGTGGATCAAAGATCATGATCCTTCAATATGTATCTTTGTGATCTTTGGTTTCAGTTAATGATCTGGAATATTAATTTTTGGTTCTTTGTCTTCTTCAGGTGCTACAATAGGAGCTGTGTATCGAACTGCACATTTCACCATGCCTCGCTATGCTGCATTTCTTTGGGGTGCTGGACAAGCGTTCATAGGATTTTTGGTATCTTATACACGGATATTGGCTACCCTGTGACGCAAGAATGTGATTGTGAATCAATGTAACTTTGAGCTGCTTGATAATGACAAACAGAGTAAAGGACTAGGAACTAGTTAAACTTCATGTACTATATATGGGCACATACTTTGTGTACTGTATGGGGCATAATTTGACTCAACCTTTGAAGGAAGAAAGAACATAATTTACAGAGTATGCCAGGCCATGTTTTCTCATCACAACTTATCACTAAACAAAGGCAGCAAGTAGAGATGGAAACATAAGTTTATTTTACAAGGCAAGAGAAGACACCATATACATTGTTGGTTATATATACAGATTTTATGTGTACTGCTATTGGTCTGTGCATTCCACAAGAATGTACTAAAAGAACCCTTCACTTGGATGTGTTTACACAAGTTCTATTAATAAATTCAGTTTTAGTCATCATCATCTTCGTCATCATCTACATCATCCATATCTTCAGCTGCCTCCATAGCTTCTTCCTGTGCCTTCTTGAGTGCCCTCTCCTCCTCTACCGTTGGGTCATCAACTTCTGTTACTTCGGACACCACTGGGTACTCCTCCATGGCTGCAGGGGGTGGAGGTGGGGTGTAGTTGTCAGCATCAAATTTGTGGCCCCATCCAACATAGATGTTTTCAAATTTCCTTTTAAAAATAATGACACCACCAACAATTAGGATGTAAGTTATTCCTTTCTTGTGGGAGAATCAGTGGTGTAATGGTTATTGTGCTGGTCTTTGCATTCAAGCCCTGGCTGGAGTCAATGTGTTGCATTCTTGGGCAAGACACTTTACTCTCACAGTGCCTCTCCCTACCCAGATGTATAAAATAATTAGTACTGGCAAATTTAATGTTGGGGGGTGGAACCCTCTGATTGACTACAGCCATCCAAAGGAGAGTAGAAATCTTTGTAATCACTTACTGCTAGAGAAACCTGTAATAAGCTCCAGTGGTATATACCACTTGGCCTGATGCCGACTTAACATCCATAACGTGCCTTTTCAACACAGTCCAACAAAGTGGGCCCTTTGTCCCAAACATCAAAAGATCGTAAATTAGTAAGGCTGAAATTAGCAGGGCTTGTTATCCAATAACATTTTTCCACTCAAATCTGAATTTTTGCAATTTATAAAATCCTAAAATCTCACACCAAGAGCATCAGTGGTTACAAAATTGGCAACCTTACTTGATCCATCGCACTCTTTTCATTTCTGGCACCTAATTAATTCTACTAGTAACAGCTTTCATGATGGACAAGGTCATGACAGACTTCAGTTTCATAAGTGACCTTCTAATCATCAGGCACTTCCACAAATTGGTGGTGTAGCAGCTCTCGTGAGCTTGTAATTCTATTTGTCGTCATTGCAGCAGCTGTTATTGTTTTAGGGCTTGGGGGCATTGTTTTTGTTGTTTGTTCTATTGTCCTCTCAAAGGGTTTCAAGCCATTCATGTGAGACCTTACAAGAGATACAACATGACCCCAACAAATGACTTCATGTTCACTACCTATCTTTTGCAAAGGCAACTGCACCAGGCCACCTGTTGGAACGCATGACAGCAAGGCCATACTGAGGTAGCAATTCTGATGAGACATAGGGAGTCCAAGCAGGCATTCCGTTTACAGCTGTAACCAACAAAACAAAAAAATTAAATCCCAGCTCTTTCCTAGAGCAGACTTTTTTGTCTGAACAAAACCTTTGCAGGTCATTAAAACACGTAAACATGTAAACTTGCTTTAAAATGTTATTACACACGAACAGTGCTGTTTATTATTTTTTTTGGGAAAATATACATTCTGATTCACTTGATTTGACAAAATTGTTTATCCAGGTCATGAATATTTTGGCTTTCAATGAGAAATGTATCAAACACTTGACAGAATTCTGATCACTTTCCAAACACCTTGAATATTGTAAATTATAAAAAACTCTGCTCCCTTCTCAGTGTTTGGAAATGTGATGAAACACTCCCCTGCATGTTTGATATTTTACATAAATACAGTCAATTTTACAAACAAATATTTGATAGTTTCACTCACGTTCATCCTCAGCGATGGAAGTTAATAATTGTGGTCCTGATTCTGGTTTTGGTTCCTCTACATCTTCTCTTTCTTCTTCCTCTTCTTCTTCTTCAAAATCATCTTCTGGTTTTTCTATGGGGTTGTGCCAAACACAGCGACCCTAACACAACAAAACAAACTGATTACAATTAAGGTGATAGTTTCCAGCATTTTTTCAACAGGTCTTCTTGATGGATAAATACCACCATTCTTTTTTTCAGTTGATGCTACAGTAATGGTATGAAATGGCCAACTATTAGTAAACTAGTTGTGGTCATTTTTATGATGGTGCAAAAGCATGACCCATAATTTTAGCTCTAAGTGCTTATAACTCAAAAACAATTTCAGAGACCCAAATAGTTGTTTGAAATATTTGTTTATTTATTTGCAGTGTCCCCAATTAGCATATTAGTGCCAACTACATTGACACTTAAATAAAGTTGTTGTTATTATTATTATTATTATTATTATTATTATTATTATTATTATTATTATTATTATTCTGTACCATTTTCACTTAAAATGCACAAATGTGAGAGGAATAATTATTTTCACTTCAGGCTATTTGACAGTGTCAGTGTAGCCAAATCCAACACTTACGTGTATGTCACCTCCAAAAAAAAGAAAAAAAGTTTATTCTTGGGCACATGACTGGCCACTGGTTTAACAATGGCATCAGCAAAAACACTACAAGTGTGGGGCATTCCCCACCATAAAAAAACCAAGATGATGACAAATATACTGTAAGAGAGCTGCTCTTCTTTATGATTTGAACCTGTAACAGTTCAGAAATAAAGGATGGTCAGGGTTTAACCATATTTCTTGATAAAGTGGCTCACTTACCTGTGGTAATACATGCTGTACATGATGTGCCCAGTTATGAAGTGATGGATCAGCAAGTTCTCTCACACTAATCCCCTCAAAATCAACATTCAGCATGTAGGAATCTCGCACTAAAAATCATTCAAACAAGATTTTATAACTCTGAAACTGGTTGATGCATCTGATCTAACATACGGTGCATATTAGTGGTAATCAGTTACATAATTTCACTAGTTTATCTTTGCATTGAAATCTGCGTTTAAAAGACATATGAGTTTTAACTGAGAACTATCACTGTTTAAACCATTAAGGACTTTTTCTGTGTTTACATAGCCTTATCAAAACAAACCCAAGATGAAGTCGAGAATTTTGTTTAGATGAGGCCATGAAAACAAGGAGAAAGCCCTCAAATTGCTTTTATAAAATATTTCTTCTAATGTAGGCCATCTTTAATGTTATAAAGGACGCTCTAAAGGTAGACTTTGTGGTGATTATATTACATTAAATGAAAAGTCTAACAGTAGTATTCACTAACTTATTTTTCTTCAGCTTAGAGACTAAGGCAATATTGTCCTGCAACTTTAACAACCCTTTTCAACTTCTCCATTATGCAACATTGTTGCAAGGCAAATGGTTCCCAAATTATTTGGCCTGAACAGCTCTGTTAATAGAGTAATTGCTAACAGTGAATAATTTACTACATAAATGTGGCAAAGGCGACAGGAATCATTCAGTAGGATTACCTTCTCCCTCCTCCTCCTCCTCTTCCTCCTCTTCAAACATGAAAAACCCAGCAGGACTTATTTGAGCACCAGCTGAAATTCGTGCAATCTGTGCTCTCAGATAGTTCATTTCATTTCCTGGAAATGGTGGATAACTTACGATCTGTCAAAGTAACAAAGTAATAGTAAACACACCCTAAGTAAACAGAAATAAGCCTCCTCCCTTTAGTTGGCTCCCTGTGTACTAAATCTTCACACAACTTCTAACCAATGGGTACCCAATTGACCATTGCAGGGTCAGCTAGGACTGTGGTATGAGCCACCATTAATTTTAACTTTAAGTATTTTATCTTTATTTCTGTCACGAGTGTTTTGTATGCCAGAGGGAACCATTACTATGAATGACCAGACAGAAACTTTTCTTAATGAATAGACCTTAGCATGCTTTTGGAAGCCATCTTGAATGGTAGGCAACAACGCCAGAAATTACTGTTTGTATGGAAGTCTGATGGCAAATACGTTTCTTAAGAATTGAATACTGAACAATTTATGAATAGCAAAGTTAAGATAACAGATAAAGGATTGCATTAACCAACTTTAAGAGATGTAGCTGTGCCAGAAAGTGACCAGTCATGCATATAGACAAATGTACCAAAAATTATATTAAATGATTTAGTTAAAGCAATCCTTTTTTTAAGATACAAGACTCAAAAAGTTCAGAATTCTATTTTTAAGAAAATTTGCCATTGGATAATTCAACTCATGATCTATTAGGTATGAATGAGAATAACTGAGTTTTTCAGATCTGGGGAGGGATTAGACCAGCTCTTTTAGGCTGACCACACCCAATAATTATCACATTCTTCTCAATCTTGTCAAAATATTAATTCATGAATCAGCATGATTTTTCACTTGATTCACATGTGATATCATACATTATTTAAGTAAGTAAAATTATTCATCTTACTGGAGCATCCAGTCTTCCTGTAAAGAATTTCTTGATAGATCTAGCAGTTACTATTTGTGCAGGAGTCACAGCTGGAAGCTTTACCCAAGGTTTACCAGCTAAGAAAAAAACAGAGATCGGTTTAGACAGTATACATCATACATTTAAATAATGAACTGCAGGGTATTTACTTACTTACTGAGCATGTACATGTAAACCATATAATTTTAACAAATTAAATGTAAATGTAACTGAAAAGTCCTATTAGTAATGACCCACAATTTCACATTTGTTCCTTTTGAGTAAAAAAATGTCTGTAAATGGGTATCAATCAGATTCCCCATTGTTACATTTTTATATGGGAGGGGAGGGGGGAATTGTAATTGTACAGTCGAACCTCCTGTTGCAACCACCTCTTCTAAGCAACCACCTCTCCTCAGCGACCAGTTTTCCAAAATACCGAAAGTTTTCCAGTCAAATCGCTATATTTGGACCCTCTTGTAAGTGACCATGACTGCAACCACTTTTGGAGCTAAAAGTTTGAAACTTTCTTTTTGTTTTGAACCTCCTATAAGCAACCACTTGACAGATAATAGAGAGGAAATTGGACAATAAGGTGTTGTTACATTAATTGTATTCCCAAGAAGTACAAGAGACAGAAATTTCTCAATGGGAAGAACCAGATTTTTTCTCAAATAATTTAGTGACTTCTTACATGAATAAAACACTGAATTGGCATTGGTGCATGGGGTAAGTTTCTGCAGTTATCATATCCTAAAATTCTGTCTAGTAAAATTCCAGTCTTGCTACTAAAATTCAGTTGGTCTTTTATTTCCATCACCATGTCTAATTTCCACAAAGGACATTGTGTCCATTTTGACTGTGCAAGTTTGTCACATTCAACAAACTTTCTAGAATACTACAACAAGAATTGATTCATATACAGTCGAAGGACCACCTTGGACATTCCAAAAAAAGGTTGCATACAAGAATGGGCTCTCATTGTTTCAGTTCAGTATGTGACATTTTGCAACTGTTTAAAATTGAGGTATTTGTAGTTGCATTTTAACATTCTCTTTAATGATCTTTAATTTCCAACAGCACAACTCTGATTTACTAAATGTCAGGTGTAAGTTCATCTTTTCAATGCGATAAAAATTGCAGGGAACATACAATCTAGTTTAGTGGGATGAGAGTAAGATAGCCTAACATGACCATAAGGTGGAGCATCTGAACACCAATTTTGGTCTCACCTGTGCCAGAAGTTCAGTTAGTAGAGAGCCACGTGTAATACCCATCAGCATGCTCGCCTCCCTCCCCTTCCACTGAGATCCTTGAAAAGGCTAATAATTCAACCTCATTCCCAGGGTCTCTCATCTTCCCACCCCCTGGTTGGGTCTAGTCACGTGCTTCTAAGAACTAAGAACACCAGGGAGCGGGGTCCTCTCTAATCAAGCAATTTGTTGCATTGAACTTTATCGAATTCAAAGCGAAGCTAATAGCATCATGCTGCGACTGCCAAACCCACAATGTTTTATAATAGCCTTCAGGCTACAATTTCAAGTAGTATTTATTCCAACATTAATCTAAAGGTTAAACAAGTCTGTCTCTAGGCAATTTACTGTGATTGTGATATGATGTTGTTGCCACTTCCTTCAATGTTCCTCGACAAAATCAACTGTGGACGTCAAGCAGCACAATCTCCTGTAGTAAATGTTGTTTTGCTTTTGAACGTGCTCGATCAAATTGATGCAAGAAACATCTACTAGACAAATGTATAGCTTTAATTTCTTGAAGTTACCGCAGTCTCTGAGGAAAAGCTGGATCAAGACAATTAAACAGTCGGGCTGGGCTGGGTCGGGCGTCACAATAGAATGCAAGTAAGCTACATGAACACAAAGTATTTCAAACTTTGTACCTGGAAAGCCATTGCTTAGAGAACTTAAAACAATATATCTTGCAATAAAAATAAGCATACACAAAGTATAAAAGCACATGGCAAATTACACAGAGATGTCAAACTCTGCAAAGCGACCCTGGGATTGATCCCTCGTATTGGAATAGAGTCTATGGTACCTTTATTAACAGATGTAGGGGCATGGTCATGATTGGGAAACTACAAATTAAAACAACAACTTTATTTAAATGTTTTTGAAAAAGAAAGTCACTATTTGGAAGAACATAGGTAATTGAAATTATTCTCTGTGATTGGTTTAAGAATTCTATTGGGGACCCTCATGAATAAGCTGTTGTATATGTAAGTTTACGAATTTAATAATGAAATTTACAAATAAATAATTATAACTTGCAAAATAACAAAAACTCTGTATTGACATGTGTTAACATAAATTACATGACTAAGAAATATTAAACACATTACAAGTTGATTAAACAAAATAATAAGAAAAGTACTAATTTTTATTGTTAATTGGAGCCTAGAGGCGAAAGAAATCGCAAGGTTTTTCAGTTAGCCCCTACTAGCTATATGAGTTAATTTAATTCTGTATTGAAAATCATCATAACTATGGCACCTACGTTCAGTTGTAACAAAGAAAGTTCTCTTGTTGGTGCCAGTTCTGTTATCCTCTTTTGGAATAACTGGTGGAGGTTTCCAGTCTGGTTTGGGAGTATCATCTTCTTCACCACCCTCCTCATCTATAAGGAAAAGGAATAAAAATGTAATAAATTAACAACTACATTTCCAAAAAAAAAAATAACAATTAAGTTCTGATCCACAGTCTTTACTATGTACCTTCATCTCCTTTGTCTTCTTCCTTTGCCTGATCATCACCTTCACCTTCACCCTGCTACACAACAACAAAACCAATTACTGACTACCAACTTATCACCTGGATTTTTTTAAAGTTTTGCCGTTGTAAATTTAAAGTAATAAAGTTGGAAATGAAGTGCAGCTGGGCAAACCTAAAAGTTCCTGTTTGGTTTGTGCTTCTCTTTTTCAGCACCCTAGTATGATCCTGAGCTGTCAAACTGTTAATCGCCTAATCACAGGAGATTTGCACAACTTGCACGATTCCCTTCCAAAAGTGTTTCAATTTAAGAGTCAATTGTAATTGTAAAGATTGTAGAGGTTGCCCTCACTCAAATCTTAAACTAGTTATTGTTGAAACACTCCTCAGTTGTATTAATCGCTAACATTGTGTATTAGTTTGACATGGTTTTATTGTTAACATCAAAGGTAGCAACAGAATAAGAACGCTCTATTCTGTGACTTAACGTGACTATTTGATAATTAGATTAGTTCTTGTTTATCGTTTTGAATGAAAAAAATCATTCCTCTTTGATTTTTCATCAGATATTTAACTTTATTCCATTTATCTCCAGCAGTGAGTAAAACAAACACACATCTTTTTCATTTTCAAGGAAACAAGGGTATCATGTTGCATACCTTGGCAATGAAAACAAAAGTATCAAGTTACAAATGTTTGGATGAAAAGTAAAATTGTCACATTTGCTACTTCAATTTCTGCATATTACAGAATTTAAAATGAACGAAACTCAATGTAAAACACTACTGTCAATAAAATTCAAAGCCATCTTGACAAACGGTAATATTATTATTGTAATTTATTTTTGGGCCTTGAAAATACAAACATGAAACATACACTGCTAAGAGTATGCTGTATCAAGTTTTTGTCCACTCATATTCTGCAAAGGGGAAAAGGCCTAGAGGCTACCAAGGGAGAGAACGGCATGGGTGAGGACCTGTGTGACTACTGTATCAGAGCAGTAAATTGCACTCTGCACTATCTGAGATTGTCTCACTAGTTTAATTTTTTTCTTTTGCCTTTCCTTTTCCTCATGTTCTTATATCTTTTTGCTGCAGTGATTGACTTTCTACTGGGCTTGCTTTCAGTTCAAGAATTCCTGAGAAAGTGTCATGGAGACGGGCACTTCTTACCATGGAGTAGCCAAGGCTAGTTCAGGGAAATTTGATAAAAGTTTTTCACCCAAATTTTTGAGCATTGTTTGTGCAAATTTCAGGCTCCATTGACCCAATCACTCTGACCAGAGTATCATTGGAAAGATCTTTTTCTCCTGCAGAACTTAAGTATAAGTGATGCCGATTTTGGTCACCGGTGATGATGTCAGAAGTGGAACAAAGGCCGTTCATCCCAGCTGGCTACCGCTCACAGGCACAGGCGTCAATGGTTTATTATAAATCCTCATGGAATAGCAGCTGCATCTTTACATGCTGTTAGCTGAAGCTACCACCATTGATCAAAGTTTCTTCAGTTTTGACAATAAAAACCACTTCAACAAGAAGAGGGTATTCAGCGCAAAAAGTGCTACTTGATCAAGATTTATCCTGCATTGGTGCTGAAACCAATAAGGAAGTCTGGAGCAAAATTTAAAAGGTTTCCTTGTCTGAAAAAATTTTGCACAAATTAACAAATTGATGTCAGTTCTTTATGCATCTGTCCTCTTATTGATGATTAATTGCATCATAACATTGTCAAAGTGATTGTGGAACCACGAGCTGCACAATAGCAAGACCCCAAAATGGTCAAATGCCAGGAATAAATCAGGGGAAAAGACGCTGTGAGCTTGCCGTAAACAAGATAAGTGAATTTTGTTCAAAATGACGCGAACATTGTCAATAGCTTTTCTCACTTTT